GTACATCCTTTGAAATCAAAATAAAATAATTACAAATAATGCAGATAAATTGTAAGCGAAATTCATATAGATAAATTGCAAGCGAAAGATAAAACCAGGGGAGACATATTTGACAAACCTTGAAACGGTTGAAGAAACTCTACACACAGAGAAAGCTTGTTGAAGTCCGATTGAATGTTTTTCATTTGCAGATAAAACATCAAGCTAGAATCGTCATTGATGATAAGCGGTGGAGGTCATGCTTGAAATACATATGAAATATGTATAGCACGGTCACAATATCTTACGCCCAATGAAGCATATACAATGCCACAAAATTCAATCCACTTGCAGGAGAAAGGAATATCAATGGTGATGACGCGTGAGCTCTGAAAGTGAATGTTAGACAACCACTGACCATTTACGTTCATCAAGACATGTATGTTTGGAGATTGATTTGGAGAACAGATGATTTCCATAATTTCCGAAACAGGAAGAACGAATAGAAGAAGGAAACAATTATTTGGAATTCATCAAAAAAATAGAAGAGAATGAAGGTTGAAGAAGTGAGGGAATCGACGTTGGAAAACGGTTACCTAATTTATTGGATTGTGAAATAAACGCTAAAACAATTTTGGTATAAAGATACTCTGACCGTAGGGTTGACTGAAGGGTAGCGAAGGAATAAAAAAAATTTAGGCGTATGGGAAACGTATGATTGCCGGTTGGGGGGTAACATAGATTAGGAAATAAAACCTTGAAGTCATATTTTGGGAAAGCCCGGGACTTCTAGTCATACTAGGGGCAAATAACTCTATTTTTTTTTGAACGAAAGTGACTTATATTAAAATAACAGAACCTAAGCAGGATACAAAACGACACAAAGTATTCAGTCTGTCATCCACCCTCAAACCAGACTTATAATATATCACCTCTGTAGAATTATCTTTTGGTTTGAACAGATTTACTCAATATCACATTGGCCCATCGTATGTTTAATCGGCCCAATTGTTACCCGTCTGCAATAGAAACCCTAACCCCTTTAGCCCTTCCTCCTTTATGCTTCTCGCGAAGTTGACCGAAACACTCCCTTCACCTTCACCTTCACCAGCTGCGCATCTCACTGTAGACGGAGCTCCTCTCTTTCCACCGTGAATAAGGGGACTTGTAAGCTTCTTGTAATTCATCCTATGCTGTTAAGTGTAAACAAATTTTGGGTATGAATAAAACTATATACTTTTCTACGCTTGAAAATGAACACCTGGTTTATTCGCTACCTTTGGTTTCCTTGTAAGCCTGGTTATCGAGTATGTTAGTTTATAATCTATGTACAATAGATCAATTTTTTTGTACTTCGATAATCTTTTACATCGAATCTATTTATGACAAAAAATGAGTTTCATTGTGCCTACAAATGTTTTAGCTTTTGTGTTGAGAAATTTCGCAGTTCTTTTTTTTCGCCAAGTAAACGTCAATGGGATTTGAATTGTTTTCTGTGGTTATGATTCAGTCTTTAAAAGATGGTGAGAGTCAGTGTGTTGAATGATGCCCTCAAGAGCATGTATAATGCTGAGAAGAGAGGAAAGCGTCAGGTCATGATCAGACCCTCTTCAAAAGTGATCATCAAGTTCCTTTTGGTTATGCAAAAGCATGGTATGCTCAATAGTTATGTAAATTTATATATTATTCTCTGCATATGCTGTTCATGCGCTTAGTATTCTATGTTTGTCTTGCAGGATATATCGGGGAGTTTGAATATGTGGATGACCACAGATCTGGTAAAATTGTGGTTGAGCTGAACGGAAGGTTAAACAAGTGTGGTGTTATTAGTCCTCGTTTTGATGTGGGTGTTAAGGATATCGAGTCATGGACTGCTAGGCTGCTTCCTTCAAGACAGGTTTATTGCTAAAAGAAAATAATTCCATTTGTTTTCTTCTAACTATACATGCTTTTATTCACAGGGCCCTCCTTTGAATTTGAGGGGCCTTGTTGTAAGTATTATTCGATATTATTCGATGCCTCACTCTAATACATTATAAGTAAAAATATGATTTATGTAATAATAATAAAAGGCAAGTTTAACAAAATATAACTAACTTACTCGGTTCAACAAAATATACTGGTAAATGTTTTTATAAAGTACAAATAAGATAATCTTAATTATAACAATATCAAGTGGTTGTTATATTAAAAAGACTAAAACTAGTGCAGGTATTTCAAAAAACATACTCCCTATAATATTTCTGAAACTATAACATAGAACTGAGTTATATGATTTTGAAAAATTTAAGTTTAAGATTGTCAGTGTATTAATTTTCTGTCTGCATTATTTGAAACTTTCACGAACTCTTATTGTTTGCCGCATGCCACACACGTTGCTTGAAACTTTGGCCCTTCAATATATTTATGTAAGGCTTTTAAGCCCACATTAATTACTAGACTAGTGGAAACAATGAGGCCCTTCAAAAGTGTGGGCCTGTTCTCGGAAACTGTATTAACTGGTTGTTAGCCGGCCCTAGTAATCCATTCCCCCCTTTGAGTAATGAATAATGCTGTAGGTTTTGTTTGGAGGAGAATTTTTTAGTTTAGAAGGGAAGGCTTTGGTGGGCCTAGTCTGCATCTCAACAAACTGGAATGTCTTTGTAAAAATCATTAAAGGATGGTTCAAATTTTATTTTATCATGTATTATGTATATTTGAATTTTACTAAATCTCTGATGTAATAGAGTATACCCTCCTAAACCTTAAATACAGTCTTGAATGGCTTTGGTCTTGTATGTTGTATAACTAGACTTGATATCGGGCAGTATGACTATCCAACTATGAATTTAGGAGAGCTACCTGCTATTACCCCTTGTTCAATATTTATTAGGATCCATTTGAAAAGAGTAGCTGGCTGAAGTTGGTCAAACTCTACGTGTTCTGCATTTAGCTCCATCACTAATATCTTATTTGTTTCAATGTGGCAGTTCGGCTACATCGTGCTTACTACCTCTGCTGGCATCATGGACCATGAAGAAGCAAGGCGCAAGAATGTTGGTGGGAAAGTTCTTGGTTTCTTTTATTAGAGAACATGTTTTGTTATCTGTTTTGTTTGAATCCTATTTTTAATCAAAAGTGACGAGCGGATTTTGTTTTGGAATGTTGTTTTTGATGGCTAATTATTTTGAGCAAATCGTACTGGACGTCCGTTAATCAATTATCAATTTGTGTTTAAGTTCGTTAGTTTCATACAAGTTGTTTCCATTGTTTGGATATTTATTTCTCTTTATAGAGTTTTGTAGTCTATATAAATAAGCACTCGTTTTTTAATTTTGGATACAATTCTTGGTTATTTTCAATCAAATGTATTTTAGTATTTACCGATTGATGGGTTGTGAGATTTAGCGTTTGGTAAATCTAAAAATGAATTGATAACCCGTTTTGGATTCAAGTAGAATGTATATGAGGGTGTGACAGTTCCAGTATTTAGATCGTAATATGAAATTAGATACTTCCTGAATCCTTGCCCCAAGTTCCCAAATCGGTTGGTATTTAGTGACCTGGAATTGTATCAGTATGATAACCCCTTCGAATTCAAACATATAGGTGAATTGGGACAGGATTGGGTCATCCTTAATAAGAAGTGTTTACTAAACATGTTTCTACTTCAGTGGGTTTAAACTTTAAATGTTAAAATATGCTTTACCATCTCCGACCAACACTGAAGTACATTCAGAAACAAGAACATCATGAATAAATATGTACTCACTCTGTCCTATATATTTTTTTCAATCAGACTTGGTTTCAGTTTAAGAAAGTGAGAATAAAATGAAAATGTATAATTGTGGTAGAGTAAAAAAGGTAAATGAAAGTTAGTCACACAAAATTTTCAAAAACGGAAATGAGAAGAATATTTTGTACATCCCAAAAAGGTTAGTTAAAAGTATTTTGTTTATGGGACAGAGGTAGTATATTTTTTCTTATTAGGAAATAGCAAAGGAAAGGGGAGTAGCACACATAGAGCAAATAAATGCTATCACTATATCACATAAGTGAAGAAAGTAACTATTTGTTTGACTAGATTGTCCCGTAAGGAAATATATTTCGAGCAAATATGACTGTATGACACAATCACATATGTTCTACAAAATCAATATAGCGAAAAGCACATACAAATTGATTAGAAAAACAAAAAAGAAAATAACAAATATAAATTGCAGTAGCACATCGACAACAAATATCAAAGGGACGAAAGCAAATATCGCACTTTAACAACAACGACATCAATAACCAGTCAGAGGATGAGTGCGACAAGTTCAAAACTCATTTTCTCCCGCACCTCCACCAAGTGAAGAATTGTGACCGGTGGTTTTAACCTTTTTGAAACTCGAACCTAATCGAAAAAATTGCAATATAGAGAGCATAATATAAAGTACCCTACTCAAATTCAAGTGAAGTATACATGTGATGGTCGTGACATAATCAATGACAATCAAATCAACGGAGGAAATGACCGGTTAGTTAGATGATTGACTGTCTATTGCTTATGAGAGATGAGTTTTTGGTTCAATAGATGTCATGACTAGATGTGATAGGAATGAAAATAAAAAATTGATATTGGAAAAGGTGAAAACATATTGATCATTAAAAAAGAACTTACCTTACTACTGAAAACACGAGGAGGGCATCAACTTGTTAAGCGAGAGGTTAAGTGACTATCGTGCTTTTTTTAGAAACTATCGTGCTTATTAAGCACCTATATTTTTCATCCATAAAAAATGTTTACTTCATATGTGCCAGTAAGCTACTCGTAAAACTAAATGAGATAAATTGGATTTTGCATCCTATTTTTGGACTATATTGGATCTTATACTCAGTTTTCAAAAAAAATGTGTTTATCTCATTTCAATACAAAATCATTTTCTTTTGCACTACATTCCGTGGACAAGGAAATAAAATGTAAAATTTAATATCATTCAAAACAAGGGATAAAAAGTCAAATTATCCGAGAAAAAAAGGATTACATTGTAATTTGGCACAAATACATTGGCTCAAACATCTCCCCCAACCTACGAACCTATCAAGTGTACTTGAAAATTTGAAAAATTTGCAAGCCACTGGGGAGCTAGTAACTGGGTATAATACTGAAGAATAATTTGGATGAGAAAGCGCGCGGGCAAGTTGATCTTGACTTATTAGGGTTTCGATTTCATTGATCAGTCCCTCATACTGAGCTCTCTGAACAGAGTCCGACTGGAGAAACACTTGTTCTCAATGGCGGATACTCTGAATACGAACAACCAAGCTCTAACCGCCACTAAGACCGTAGACGCTTCACTCTGGTGGGACTCATTTTCCATCTTGCTCACAGAACTCGAAAATGTTTCTTCCTCCTCCGATACTACCTCTTCTCTGGTACTGTATATCATTTCCGCTATGTCAAATAAATAAAGGGGATTATATGCAAACACTCGAGTTTGACATTTTATTTTTTCCAAATCAAGGAAACAAAGCTGAAGGAAAATCACAAGTGGTTCCTTGATACAAAATCACTATTTAAATCCCCGAATCAGAAATCTAGAGAGGCCTTGGATGCCGGCGTTGTAAGCATTGGTTCCAGACAGATTAGAACAAGTCCAGAACTCAAAGAGACAGCTCTAAAGATAAGTTATATTCTGGTAAACTTTCTAAACTGAAATAACTCTTTTCCCTCTAGTAAGCTTGAGTTATGTTATGAGCCTGTACGAACAAGCAATGTGGCCTCTCATGCTACTTTGGTCACTGATGTTGAGCTTGTTATGGTTTTACCTGAAAAAGAGACTACTATTTTATTTATTTTAGTGTTTGGATGAAGTGCAATCATACATCCTTGTTGAAAGAACACTCAAGCAGAATTCTTTAGCCAGACATGCAAAGATCCACGAGCTACCTCATTTGGTTAGTAGCAGCTATAATTATTTCCATGCCTGTACTGTATGCTTAGCAATGTTTACTGATGAGTCCCTAATTAACTTTTCTTGATGCCACTGACCATAAATGTTAGTTAATCGTTTGTTCATTATGATCCAAGTAGCATCACCTTTTTCTCAATCTTCATATTTGAGCTGTTTGATGATAACTTTATCTATACACATCAGATACATATTATAATTGGGGGAGACTTGAGATAATTTTATAGTTTAAATACGGTTATAGCCCCCTGAAATATGGTGCCTTTTGTTTTAAATCCCTTTATTTTTTCATCACTGTATTTTAATGCTGTTTTCTTTTTATTTCTTCTTTAGCTTTGAGACAATATTTATTTAGAAAAAAATTAATGTCAATTGCTTAACTCTACCAGAAACTTATAAATTTATCATTTTGTAACTTCTTTGAAACTAATTTTGAAATTAAAATAATGTAAAACTCACCATTCACGTTTTTTTAAATAGGTTTTAATGACCATCTACAACATCAAATTACTTATTTTTGAATGGCATGACTAAGAATGACAGCTCCGCCATGAGATCATTTTTTTGGTATCATGCTTGTCCCAAGTCAGGATAAAGGAGGAGGGTGCTGTGGTAGGCGCGTGACGGCCAACAGTATCACTTAGTCACATCACATGACATGAATCAAAATATGAATATCGCTACAGCTAGATCGTCGCCCGTAAGCGACGCGTCACCCCTCCGCCTGGGGGTGGTGTCAAATGGGCAAAGGCGCGCTACACTTCATAGGCCAGGGTGTGGTGATAAGAATGCTAAGGCTGCTAAGTCGTCGCCCGGAAGCGATGCGCCACTCCAATGCCCGGGAATGGTGTCAAATATGCAAGGGCATGGTGGGGGTCGATGTGGGGTGAAGAAGAGAAGGCAGGGTGTTAGATTGCGCTTTGGGACATGGAATGTTGGCTCTCTTACGGGAAGATCATCTGAGATAGCTGAGGTTATGAAGAGGAGAAATATCAGCATAATGTGCATGCAAGAAACTAAGTGGGTTGGAGAAAAGGCACGCGAGATTAATCCCGGAGGTTTTAAGCTTTGGTACTCGGGGAGAGAGAGGAACAGAAATGGAGTAGGCATTATGGTGGCACATGATTATGTTGACGGTGTGGTTGAAATGTTTAGGAAGAACGATCGCATCATGAGCATTAAGTTGATAATGGGGGATGAGATTGTGTTCGTGGTTAGTGCCTATGCACCACAAGTGGGATTGGATGCATCTATCACTCAACAATTTTGGGAGGATCTTGAGGAAGTGGTGCGACGAGTGCCAAGGGGAGAGAAACTGGTCATAGGAGGCGACCTCAACGGGCATGTGGGCCCAAGTCGTGATGGTTTTGAGAGTGTCGATGACGGACATGGGTTTGGCAGTAGAAATGAAGCGGGGAAGAACATTCTGGATTTTGCCTCGACATATGAGTTGGCTGTGATGAACACTTGGTTCAAGAAAAGAGACTCTCACCTTGTCACCTATAGAAGTGGAGCTCATAGTACCCAAATTGACTACTTTTTAGTACGGACGACTTGGAGAACTAGCTACACTGATTGTAAGGTTATCCCAGGTGAGAGTGCTGTCACTCAGCATAGGATGCTTGTGCTTGATTTTCGAGGTAAAAAGAGTGGACGAGTTAAGGTACAAGGGGAGCCAAAGATAAAATGGTGGAGGCTCGAGGGGAATCTCCAACAAAATTTTGCACACAAAATGTTGGAGGAAGATGTTTGGTCTATTGATAATGACGCACACGTGGATGATGTGTGGTTACCAATGGAGTCCACCATCAACAAAGTGGCGAAGGAGATACTCGGAGAATCTAAAGGATGTCTGCCACCAAAAAAGGACATATCTTGGTGGAATGATGAGGTGAAACAAGCAATAAGGGCCAAAAGAGAATGCTATAAGAAATTGGGCAAAAGTTGGAGCGACGAGAACATAGAGGAGTACAAAGAGGCTAGAAGAAGAGCAAAGAAAGCTGTGAAGGAAGCCAAAGGAAAAGTGAATAAGGAATTGTATGTAAATTTGGATTCTAAGGAAGGAGAAAAAGATATCTACAGACTTGCTCGCCTTCGTGACCGTAGGACTCAAGATATCGGAAAAGTTAAGTGTGTGAAGGATGTCGATCAAAGGGTACTAATGGACAATGAAGAAATAAAAGAGAGGTGGAGGTCATACTTTGATACCTTGTTCAACGGGAATAAAGTCCAAGGTATTGGTGATCTTACTATACCAGATTGTATGGTAAATAGGGACTTCGTGAGATGGATTCAAACAACAGAAGTTAAAGAGGCTATGAGAAAAATGGGCCGGAAGAAAGCAGTGGGCCCAGATGGCAAACCGATCGAGGCTTGGAGAAGTTTGGGAGAGAAAGGCATCGAGTGGTTAACACGTTTCTTCAACATGATTTGGAGAAACAACAAAATGCCAGTGAGTTGGCGGAAGAGTACTCTCATTCCCTTATTTAAAAATAAGGGGTGATGTGCAAGAATGTGCTAACTATCGAGGGATTAAGCTTATGAGTCACACCATGAAACTTTGGGAGCGAGTGGTTGAGCAAAAACTACGTAAAAGTGTGAAAATTTCGGAGAATCAATTTGGTTTTATGCCTGGACGCTCAACAACTGAGGCCATTCACCTTCTTAGACAAGTTGTGGAGAAGTATAGAGACACTAAAAAGGATCTGCATTTGGTGTTCATTGACTTAGAAAAAGCATATGATAGGGTACGTCGAGAAGTCCTTTGGTGGGCCTTAACTAGAAAAGGCATATCACTTAAGTATATCAGCATCATCATGGATATGTATGATGCTTGTACTACAAGTGTCCGCACTAGTGTAGGGAGGACCGCAGAGTTCCCTATTACTATTGGAGTGCACCAAGGATCTGCTCTGAGTCCTTTCTTATTTGCTTTAGTCATGGATGAACTTACGAAGTCAATTCAAGAAGATATACTGTGGTGCATGATGTATGCCGGCGATATTGTATTGATTGATGAGACACAATCCGATGTTAAAGCAAAGTTGGAAGTATGACGACAAACATTGGAGAGCAAGGGTTTCAAACTGAGCCAAAGCAAGACTGAGTATATGGAGTGCAAGTTCGGTGGAGGTAGCAACAGTGGGATTACTCTTGATGGTAAGGAGATACCGGTGTGTGATATGTTCCGTTACTTGGGATCCATAATTCAGAAGGATGGTGAATTAGATGGAGATGTATGTCATAGAGTCAGAGCTGGGTGGATGAAATGGCAAAGTGCTTCAGGATTTCTATGCGATCGAGGTATGCCGACTAAATTGAAAGGTAAATTTTATCGTACAACAATTAGGCCGGCATTAATGTATGGCGTAGAGTGTTGGGCGGTGAAGCAATGCCACATTCAAAAGATGAGTGTGACAGAGATGCGTATGTTGCGTTGGATGTGTGGACATACCAGAAAAGACCGCCTGAGGAATGAGGTAATCAGACAAAAGGTGGGAGTAGCGCCTATAGAAGATAAGATGCAGGAGTCTCGTTTGCGGTGGTTTGGGCATGTGCATAGAAGACCGAGTGATGCACCTGTTAGACGACTTGAGGGGTGGGGAGAAGAGTCAGAGAAGAGAGGGAGGGGAAGACCCAAACAGACTTGGATTAGAGTAATCAGAACTGATATGCGTCTTCTTGGGTTGGATGAGAGTATGTCTTTGGAGAGAGCAAAGTGGAGGCGCACATCCATGTGGACGATTGATGTCTTGTCTACCTTTCCTCTCTTGTTTCTTTTATCATTTATCTTCCTTATCGTTTTATATTCTTATGTTATTTTTATCTTCTAGCTTTTTTATGTTCTTTTATTTATTTTTCTTTTATCTTGGTTATATTCTTGTGTTATTGTTATCTTATATTTATGTATCTTTATTTTATTCATTTTATCTTACTTTTTTTTCCTTTTCTTGTCCGCCTTCTCTTTTTGGCATCGATATCATAGATCGATTCATGTTAGCCGACCCCAAATTCTTTTGGGATTAAGGCTTGGATGTTGTTGTTGTTGTATGACTAAGAATAACCGCAAATCTGTTTATCAAACAAAGGTTGTTATTAATAACAGTAGACTAAAAAGAAAAGAAGCATAAATTGCAGGATGAAAGACAAAAGAGTAATTCTGCAGGGACATAAAACCAAAAGTACTATTTTTGGAGGGACTAAATACATATCTAAACCAATTTTTATTTGCACTAGACTTTTATTGGTACTGTTGAGGGAAAAGAGAAAGACATTGCATGGTTATTCATTCCTCTTGCTGCATCTTGTGCCAATGTTTCCAATCAAGTGTGGGGAGGTTGAATCTTCTGTCTTTTTAGCCGTACGTAGACACGTAGGATTAGTTGTACGTAGTACTAAACTTCTTTAACGAGCAGTATGTGTGACAAGACTTAAGAGTAATGATTAAACTGTAAATATTATTGGAGTTTTTTTTTGAAAAATTGAAATTAATTGGAGAATTCCTGCTCACCAATAGGCAGTTTGCGACAGTAAATTGAACCAATATTTGGAAATGATCCCTATTACTGGCTGTCCATTGTTGCTAGTTTGCTATCCTGATGGAGCTATATTAGCTCACTCAACCACTACCATTGCAGCTGATATAGTTTTGCAGCAAACAGGGTTTTGCGGTTCAGGATGTATTGGTTCTCTGAAATGTCCTCTTTTGTTTCTCTTAATTTTAAACCCACTATCCGTATGAGCGTTCTAAGGTAGCTCATACTTTAAAATTGCATAAAGTTGCTGTTACAGTTATCAGTTGTACTAATACTACATTATTGAATGCATTTTATTTTCGAATAGTTTTGTTTCGGAAATGGTGTTGATGAATGCTCTTTGCATTCTGTGAATTGGGAATTACATCCTTCATTTACAAATGGTGTTTCCATTTTTTTGAATCCCTGAAAGTTCTCCTCATTTCCTTGTAAGGGAAGATCTATGTGATTGATTTTGATTCTTTTAATTCTAAAAATCTTACCACACAACTCCAGTTTCTTAATTTTCATGTAAAAAGTAAATGAAAAGAACATTCGGGGATATAGGGACTAGGTGAGAATTAAGTGCTTGCAATTTTCATGATTTTTCTTTGGAAAATGGAAGTTTTGAGAACTGTGCAACAGGAAACAGAGAATAGAAATGTGAAGATGGGATGTAGACACATATGGAGTTGCACATGCCACATGTAGAAGCCTTCCATCTGTGCACTGATGAATCTTTCCATCAGTAACAATATGTTTGAATTTTTATGTTCTTTCACTGTCAGGTAATTCTTCACTACTACATTGAGCGGCAGTGTTTATTGAAGTGCACAAGACAGATCCTTACACTTTCTTGTAGGTATTCCACTTGATATGCAAATGTCTTTTATTTTCTCCAAAAGTTTCACGAGAACTCTGATTATAGGTCTTTTGAAAAATGTCTGTTCAAACATGTCGGAAATCTGTTAACGTCAGTTGCTATAATGCTATCACATTGACTGTTTAATAAAATGACATCATACCCGTTTGGTTGATCATTGCTATTGCTTGAGAAAACAATTACAAACCCGTAACTGTTCCTTTCTGTGGAGGTCCTCTTGGCTTGAAATTATGTAAGTATTTAGTGTATATAACTATATATTTTCATATTTTCATATATATGGTAAACTGGTAACTGCTTGATTACCTCGGTTCTGGCATCTTGTCCCCCATCACACCTACACACCCACTCAGATCTTTGAGTGCTTGATGTCCAACATATGACTACCCTAAGCTATATGATAAGCTTCTCTTGGTGATCTTGTTGTCTGCAAGGTATAGGAAAATGTCATCTTGTTTTGGGTCCTGCTAATTCTAGTGCCTCCAATGCAGTATATTTTGAAACAAAACCTAAAGAAAGATCTGGTATTGTGGACGCGGCACATAAGTTAATATCTGATGGACTAGAGACTAAAGCGATATTTACTCTAGAGGACAATCTGATGTTGAACTTCCCAGAGTCGATGGTATGTTAATTTTAATATTGAAGTTCGAAGTTTAGATAGTTTGCCTGGCAATTTTTTAACAAACACATAAATTTGATGGCAATTGATTTTCCCTATTGATTTTTCTTTGTTGATTTGGTATTGGCAATTGTATATTGTATAAGAGTTTTGAGATAATATTCTAATTGGTGTGATGATCCATTCTGCCATGTTTCTCAGGAAATTGATTTCTACACTTTATGGGCTGAAGAGATACTTACCGAGAATAATCTGATCTTGGACATCCTTTTTCTTATATTTTATGAGTTCTGCACGTGCAATGGCAAGCAATGGATGAAATTATGTTTGCTTTATGAGGTATCTCACGACTCAACCCTCAAGAAGTGGTGGTAATCCTTGTGTTTAGTTGCTTACTGTGCATTTTAATTGCTGTTTGTTGCAGGGTATAATTCTGGGTTCCTATAATTTTGGGAGGTTAGCTATATCAGCAGAATCATTATCTTCAATTAGTCATTCCAAAGTACAGTTGCTGCTTATTCTCATAGAAACTTTGAACCTGGAAAATCTTCTTCAAATGGTTCATGATGAAATTTCATTCAGGTTATATATAGTTTTATTCATCCCTTTCTATTTTATGGTTCTGATTTTGTTATATCTGAAACTCTATGTTTATCTTAAGGAATGTCTGGGGGTTATGTCGGAGTTTGTTTCCTCGAAGTATGATAAAATTGAACCACCTAAAATTTCAATATGCATAGTTGTTATCTTATACTCGTAGGAATTTTGGGAGGGCAGATGTTGACATGTAATTGCACAGTTTCTTGATAGACAGATAATACAATTTATATAGAGACTTTCTAATCTATTCAAGGTAAGATTCTATATAAAGTATGTTACAATAAGTGCTGAAGATCAGATTCGACTCTATATGAAATACGGAGTATATTATAATTAATGTTGTAGATTAAGTTGATTCAGATTTCCTTCTATAATTTTTAGTAAAAATGTGTTCGTGTGTAAGTCATCTATAAATTCTCTTAGGTTCTTTATCAATTTCATTGGTTTCATACTTTCATGTAATGGTTTTGTTATGATCTCAAATGCTCATGCTTTTCCTTAGATTAGATATATTGGTTAAGATGAAGGTGTACTTGATAAGCAATTTGAGTTGTATCTTAATACAGAATAAAGAACAGATTTTGTAATCTAGCTTGAAGGTGAGACTTTGGTCGATTCTTATCTAACTCCTGCCACATGTTGGCATGTTGCTCATTTACTTGCCTCTGTTCATTTCGTTCTAGACCTTAATTTTTTAGGGTAATATTTTATTTGAATTATTTCTGAAGTGAAGCCCTTAATAGAATTCCATTGCTCATGCTCTAAACTCTTTTATTTATTGAGTTCATCTTTTTTTCTCAGGGAGGGGTTTGCTGCATTTTCTTTAAATGATGTTCTAGAAATTGATAACGTTATATCTAATCTCAATGCTTTTGAAAAGAAAGAAGCTGGTCCATTGATTCTAGCATGGGCAGTATTTCTTTGTCTTGTTTCCTCACTTCCAGAAAAGGAGGGAAATAATGTACTGATGGTATGCCGTGCCATGCTGTGTCTAATTAAGTTGCAGTACTTCCCCATTGAATTAAACATATGCATAAGTTTTATTAATTGATGCTATTTCAGGAGATCGACCATATTGGTTATGTTCGTCAAGCTTTTGAAGCTGCAGCTTTGAGTTATCTCCTTGAAATCCTGGAAAGGGATATACAGAAGCATTCAGATGTGAGCGTACAGCTGTTAGTGGTTCTATATATACTTGGGCTAAACCATAACATGCTGTATTTTTTTTCTTAGGGTCCCATTGCTGGGTTGCGAAGTGTTCTAAGAACGTTCATATCATCATTCATTGCTTCTTATGAGATCAATCTTCAGGTACATGATTAGTCTATAGTAGTACAGAAAATCATCACCATCACTATTTTAATTTTTATTTCTGCATATATTTATCATTCCTTTTCCATGTGGCAGATTGAAGACAATAACTTGCAACTTATATTGGAAATCATATGCAAGATTTATCAAGGAGAGGTTTGGATGCATTTTTGTATTCTTCAATTAAAGAGTACTTTTTTCATAAACAATTTTGTTATTGCCCCATTGGTTATAAATGTGTAATGCAGGAGTCGCTCTGTATCCAGTTTTGGGATAAGGATAGCTTTGTTGATGGTCCTATTCGGTGTCTTCTATGCAATTTGGAGGGTGAATTTCCTTTTAAGACTGGTCAACTGCTGCGGCTGTTATCAGCGCTTTCTGAAGGATCTTGGCCTTCAGAATGTGTGTATGTTCAAGCCTTTTGCCCTCCCCCCTCAAAGACTTAATGGAATCATTTGATTTCTCTGTCTGAAGTGCAATAGTCACTTACCTTTATGTTTTTTCAACAGGTTTAACTTTCTTGACAAGTCTACTGGATTATCATCTCTTTTTGAGATAACTCACGGCTCACTCATGGATGCGACTTCACAGAGTGTTAAGACAATTCACCCATTGTATGTTTCTGGTGTTGAAGGTTTGATCATTCCTAGTGGAACACGTGGTCATGTTTTGAAAATGGTTGATAGGAGTACTGGTCTTGTGAGATGGGAGGTAAGTAGCGTTTTGGGATCAATGTTTACCTTGTTCAGTATTGTTCAATGACAGGTTTATAAGGCCTACGACAATGCTGTACGGTGGAATTTTTTATGCCCATGGCTGAGAATAATCCATTATCCACCATTAATAACATTGACCTTGTGCCTTGAGCTATATCATTTATGTTTGTAATTGCAACTGTCATGTGGTTTGTTTATATTTATTTGTTTTTTGTTTGTCAATTTGTTTTTTTTTTTTGAATTTTGTCAGACCCAAAAGTTGAGCATACTGTCAATTCTGAACCTCAGAGATAAATCGTACTCCCTTTGTCCTTATAATTTTGTTAAGTTTGACAGGCACGTGGAATAATAAATTAAAAAAATGTGAGGTTGGGTTTTGTGCAGAGGAGATTGAAATAATAAGAACCACTAATTACTTACTATTAAGGGAAAGTGACAAAGCTTTTGGGACAACCGAAAAAGGAAAATTTTGAAAGTTTGTAGGGGCAGAGGTAGTATGAATAAAAGACCTAAAAGATCATAGTCACTATGTTAACTTATGCCAAACAGAATATGATGTGGTGCTACATAGATTTGAAAAAGTAATACTATGTATATTGTTAAAACCACACCATTGTAATTATTTTATAATATAAACTAATTTATACTCTGCCCCATTTTGTAAGATACACTTTCCTTTTTTGGTTGTTCCAAAACTTTGAGCACCTTAAATTGAACTCCACTAACTTCTTCCTTTCCCACTATACCCCTTATCTATCATTTCATCTTTACTTTTTGTGGATCCATTCCCCCCTTTCCGGAGGTTAGAACGGTAAAACAATCGGTTTATTCTTTATTTTCTTAAAACCCACATGCATGTTACATTATGGGATGGTGGTAGTAATATGTATTAATTATTTTTAAAATATTATTTTAACATATAATTATAATCATATTTCATTTTTAGTATTTTTATTTTAATTATCTAATACTTCGTATATACTCTCTCCATATTCAAATATTTGCAACACTTTCCATTTTGATTTGTATTGATATATTTGCAACAGTTTCCCCTTTTGGTAAGTTATTTATTTTAAATGCATAATTGACCTTGCTTTTTCATCTTCTCTTTCATACTTTTTCATCCTTCCCTACTTCTTTCACTTTTTCTACAGTAATCACTACTATTATTTCATGCTAAAACTCTGTGAAAAAGTTAATGTTTTGAACATTTGAATATGGAGGGAGTTTCATAATATATATTATTTTAAATTCTTTTTTATTTTATACGAATGTTTTGTAATAGTGGTTCTTTACTTTTGTGATATGATATATATTAATTGTTTTAATGAATGTGTCAGCACATCACATTGTGTTAGTAGTAAATTAGGGGTTATAAGCTTTTGAGTCTTGCATTATTGATAAACTCTGGCCTTCTAGGATCCTCCTTATTGATATCATTTACTCCCTCCGTCCAATTAGAAGGTTCACACTTTCCCTTTTTGGATGTCCCATATAAAGGTTCCCATTTCCATTTTAGGAAACAATTAACAGTCTTAAGTAACAAATTAATTATTAAATATTAATAATAATACATTTATAACATCACAGTTATCAATACTAACTACATTATAATATATACCTATTAAAATTATGGGAAAAGTACGGAAAAAATACTCGTGGTTGAGCCCGTTTTTAGATAGGGTCATGTGTTTCATTCTTTATCAAAGTGGTTCATGTGTTTGAATTCCGTTATCACAAGAGGGTCACGCCGTTAAAAACGTCAGAAAAAGACCGTTAATAGTAACTCTGATTTTCAAAAGTGCTCGAAAAATTAAAAAATACCGGAAGGTGTGCCTCAATAAGACGACCGCTAGTCCATCTTTCTTTTTTGTTTTCAGCCACCCTTGTCACCGGAAAGTCCATCTTAAAAGTGATATTAGCGAAATCATTTTTAAAAAATAATTCAAACAAATCTGAAAAATCCAAAGGTGAAGGTGGTTTCGACCATGGAGGTCATCTTGACGAGGCGCACCTTTCAATATTTTTCTTTTAATTTTTCTGACACTTGAAAATCGGAGTTACTTTTAACGGTCTTTTTCATACGTTTTTAACGGCGTGACCCTCTTGTGATAACGGAATTCAAACACATGAACTACTTTGATAAAGAATGAAACACATGACCCTATCTGAAAATGACCCCAACCACAAGTACCTTTTCCGTACTTTTCCCTAAAATTATTTCACAAAATATACTCGAAGTACTTTATTTAATTATTGCCTAAATAACCGTGCCGTTTTGCTATGGGAACCTTCCAACGGGATGGAGGTAGTATCTTTTAAGCCCAAAATCGATAAAAACGTGTTGTTGGATATTTCTTTGTCATCGGGTGTTGATGAAACCTGATGTGCTTATGCAATCTAGTAAAAAAGTGAAATAATGTGTGTGCGTGTTAATTTATTTATTCATTCATTTATTTAATTATGCTCTTTTATTGCAGTATACACAATCTGGGCTGCTTGTGCTTCTTTTACGTTTGGCTAAAGGGACAAACTTGGATGATTCTGATGAAGTCTTTGCGATTCTTGACTTACTTAGTCGAATGGTCTCCTTCAGTGTGGTAATTGTTTTTAGAGTAGTTGTCTTTATTTATGTTCTGAGGCTATGTTCTTATAGAAGTTCTTTGAAGAAATATAGATATAGTGATCTCCCCTATACGAGGATGAAAATTAACTGAACTGATATTTTCTTCTTTATGCTCTTAATCACATTATGCTATCCATTGATGGTCTGATTTTGATATATTGCCATAGGCCGCAAACATTAAAATTTATCATTCTATATTTTTGTTCCATACTTGTCTGACCATTTTCCCCGTTGAAATATATATTTTGCAATGACGTTCATGAACCATACTGTTTTTAATTACGTTTTGTCTTACACTTTGAGTACTGTGATAGTATTGATCTTTTATTGCCAGGCTGTTTGTTATGCTCTCATGGACTTCGGCAGATCTTTGTCCAATGGACAATGTTCATCAAATGCGCAGTTGGAGGGAAATTTATGGTAAGATGTTGTCATGTTTCAATTTCTTCTTGGTTGGGTTGTCTAGCTACTCTTTTAATTTTTAACCAAGCTGGGATGATATTTTGTTCTGGATTGATTCCTTTGCCTAACTACAGCTATGATGTGGCGGAGATCATTTGTGCTTTAATCAAGAGTTTGCCTGCTAATTCTACTGCTGCTGCTTTGATGTCCATGAGTGTTGATATTTTGACAAAAATGCTAAAATGGTAAAACACGTCACTCTTTCCGATTGTTGCTCTAATTTTATGTTATGTGATACTCCATGTAATGTATCGTATGACATTGTTGATTGCCTAATGTTACCCTTTATTAGTTGGTTTCCAATTTAGTTGTGTGGTTGTCCCAAAATGAACGATCAAACATTAGTGCTGTTGTTTGGAGTATTTTAATGTTAGCTAGCAAGATTTTATTTCCCAATTCAAAGTTTCTCTTTGCATATTTTCAGTTGTTTGTTTTGACTGTTTTGCCTAGTTGTGCATCTATTGCAGTAACCCTTGCTTTTCATATGCAGCTCACCATATCGAGTCACGAAAATGGCAGAAAAGACTAATATATTCGATGTAGCTTTTAAAACAAATCCATTTGAAGTTGGATCGTGCGGATTGTCAAGGTGATCTAAATAATATTTTACTCCTAATAGAGTTCTAGGCCCACACTATGATATTGTTCATATGATGTGTGCATTGTCATCCTTAACCTTGAGTCCTTCACTCAGTTAGTATACCTCTTCCTTTTGGCAATATTATACATGCTGTTGCTTACTATTCACTTGATCTTCACAATTTAACATTTTAACATCTTACCTAAGAGGCTGAGGTGGTTTGATATTCTTGTCTCTGTAATTTTGAGCTTATACATGCAGAATTGCTTGTGGAATCATCCATATGCACTTTTCCATTTTGGACTTAAATACCATCATATGATTTTTTCCCAGTGGATCGTGGCTACTTTCTGGACGACTTGCCAAAATGCTTTTGATTGACTGTGAGCAAAATGACTGTCAGTTGACCCTGTCAGGCAAGTTACTGCAGAGAAGTTGTATTACTAAGTAATAACTCTCTTATTATATCCAATAAATATTATACTTTATTGAGTGTGACCAAAATGACATTCAGTTGACCCTGTCAGTTAAGGCATATTACAAATTAATAACTTTTATATTTTATGCAGTACGTACTATACATTCATGTGTTGGGGTAATATCTTATTAGTTCCTCTCACTGTCTCAATTTGTTTGGCCCTTTCACTTTTTATGCAGTCAACCATATTCTCTTTTATTCTCTGGTTTTTTGTCATTTTTTTCCTATTCAAATTTGTTTTTTTTTGCGTTTATTCCACTTTTAGTGTAGCTTTTAAATATGTGAGTTTGAATTAAATACTAATTTAATTATTATTAGGTGAGAATTCACTTCAACTATAGCCAGACCTCTTAATCCTAAATAGGGCAAACAAATTGGGACAAAGGTAATACTACGCCCGTCCCACTAAGATTGGGACAAGAGAAAGTGGCATGATTATTAAGACAAGTGGGTTTGTGTTGTTGATATTAAATTGGTAAAGTAAGAATAAAGTAAAAATGATTTAAAACCACACAAACTTTACCAATTTTGGTATGAGACAATCTTAGTGGGATTTCGCGAAAAGGTAAAATGGGACAATCTTAGCGGGACGGAGGGAGTATTAATTAATATGGCATTTTTTAGTACGTCAAATCAGGGGACACCCCTAGCTTGTCAAGTCCATAGGATTACTAATATATCTAATATGAATATCATTAACCACGGTTTTGAAATGCCAGGTTCACTGAAGTATTTCTTCCTTTGGTTTTTCAATTTGTTTTTGGCAGTTCTTAACTTCACTGCAGAGCTTGTTCAAACTGGAGCAGAAAATGATATTGTTCTTGCTCTTGTCATTTTCTCCATTCAGTATGTCCTTGTCAATCACGAGTTTTGGAAGTATAAGGTGAAGCATGCTCGCTGGAAGGTGTCGCTGAAGGTACTCTTCATTCCTTGTATGTTTAAACAGTGCATATTCTTTTGAAGGAGATGCTCATTTTAAAGTCAATTGCAATGAAGATGTGCGTGATGTAAGAGACATTTTAATGTTTTTTTTATCTTTTCACAGTAGTTTTTTAAACCAATATGCCTCTACTCTGAAAAAAGTTTTGGGAACCCCTTTGACAGATAAATAGTGAACATGTGGGCTGTGGCGCTTCGTTACCTCATTTCATCATTTCATTTTCATTTACCCCAGTGCCGCAAAGGCTCCCACCTACGGTGGGGTAAGGGGGGGTCGGATGTACGCAGTCTTACCCCTGTACTAAAGCACAGAGAGACTATTTCCGGATGACCCATAGTGAAAAGCGCGTCCAAAATTGCATGGAGTGACTACTGCTTCATAACAAAGAAGCGCAGACAGTTTAGTGAGCATTTTACTTTATTCCATCATAATCTCAAGCCAAAAAATAATGAATCTTTGGCTCCATTGCAAATGATGGAGGAGCTTCATTACCTCAATGAAATCTTAATAGTTTTGTTAAATCATATACTGCTTTCAGCAAGTGAACAGAACTCAACAACAACAATCAAGTCTTAATCCCAAATCAATGAGTTCCCGCTACATAAACCTATAGTTTATATCTCGAGTTCCTCCACCAAAATCTCCTTTTCATTCTTTTCTGTCATGTACTATTTGCTCATTAAGTCCTAACCCTTTGATGCTCCTGTTTACACCTAAAGTCCAATTCATTTTTGACCTTTCACAACTTCTCATTTACTCCCTAACACTCCAAGTCTCCATACTCTGTATTAGGCACTTTCTTAAATTATATTAGTATACCATCCTCAATTTTGTGAAATTGTTTTTTTGTAGGCACTGGAGGTTATAAAGCATAGCATCAAGTCTATATCTCAGGGTCAAATGCATGGTGGGGTGATCAGGGACATTTTGCTGTATGATTCTTCAATTCACAGTGTGCTCTTTCGTCTTGTCTGTACAACAGCAGAGGGCTTAGAGGTTTTTTTAAACTGTAATTTGGCTTTTTTGATTGCATAGCTTCACTGTCTAGTTGTAAGCACACCTCAACATAATCTGATTGTCATCAGTTTCTAACAACTTTCTTGCCCCTCTTTTGCCTTACACTAGAAACTCTATGTGAGTCGGCTTTACGAGCTGGTGGATATTGAAGGACTACAGAACTCAATAGTGTTCACTTTGGATATCTTATCGGGTTTGTTGGCCATTCATGCACATGTATGTTCGTAGAAATACATTTTGATGTCCTTTCTTATGGTTCAGTATATGTATACAGTGTCCTCTTTTCCTTGTACTATGCTACCAGTATGTTTCTCATTGAATATCTTTACAGTGTCTTCTAATTTTTGTATAACTATCAGAGTCAGGGACAGACTGGCTGCATAGAAATTTGCCCTATTTTCTTCTGTCACGAACTTTTTAGTATCAGTTACTGTGTTCCTTAGGAGCGTTGAGGTAAGATCCATGTGAAAATCTTTTTGGGAGATCTGCAATATGGGGACATTTTATTATATAGTTTTGAGCGTATTTTTGTATTTTATGGGGTCATTAATCTCTTAAACAACTGAAGGGGGGAACCGTACTCGGCTACATAATCAAGGGTTTGCAAGTAAATGTTTTTTTTGCGGATAGGCAGTTTTCAGTTCTATGATTTTCAGTACAACAATAATTAGGCAAACAATTCTGGACTGAATCTTTTAGTATTCTTTTAAAGAACTCTTAGTATTCTTTTCAATGAGATTGTTTTCGTATCTGTTATTTTGCATGAGAGTTTATAGCAATTTGGATGGATATCAGTGACCTAATTTGAAGTTCCTCAACCCCAAACTCCTTTATCATGGACTGAATCTTGTAGTAAACTAGTAATTAGTATTCTTTTAAAGAACTCCCATTAAAATATTTTTCCCGTACTCCCAAATAATCTTGTGTCAATTCACAACTTTCAAGAAGCTGCTCTGCATCATTGCAATCAGTTGGACTCCTTTGGTGTCAGTGAGTAACTTGTTAATTGCGTCTCAACAAATGTGGGACTCACACTTCTATGTTTTCAGGATTTGCCTAGTCGTCCACTGCTTCTACAAGCAATTATGTCTCCTGCAACAAAACCTGTTCCTGTGATTACAGCAGTGATATCCTTTATGTCGTTCTTCACGAATCATGTATGATTCTGTGCCCACATTGTCTTAGCACATTTTTAATTTAGAGAAAAGGGGCAAATGAGCCCTAAAACTATTAGCTATTCTGCAACCAGGCCCCTCAAGCCACTGAAATAAAGCAATCAAATCCTTTTTTTTGCCTGCTGGTGCCGGTAAGGAGATAACTTTCTCACGAGAAATTACCGACTCTAGTAGGTAAAAAGGGCTTGATTGCTTGATTTCAATGGGTTGAGAGGTGAGCAAGGTCTTCTGGTTCAAGGATCTGATTGCATAACCACTAATAGTTCGACGGCTTATTTGCCCCTTTTCTCTTTAACTTATCCTCATTATTGAATCAAATGACGGTTTTTTCTGTAGACTCTCCTGTAATAGTTTTGACTGCCATTTTAGAAACATCAATCTCTTTTGCTTAACATTTCATTAACAAATGTTCTGTTCATCCAGAAGATACAACTCGCTGCAGCTAGGCTGCTCTCTGTGTTATTCCTTGCTGGAGATGATTCAAACTCTTGTGCGTTCGGCAATGCATATTTTGGTCTTGATGAAATGCAGGTACATTATCATTTTCAAACTATATTGGCTGATAATCAAGCTGAAGGGGCTGTCATATCTAATTCAGTCTATTGCATGTAACAGATTCATAATTTTAAGAATGCCATTTGTAGCATTCTTTGTGAACAGACTGATGCAAATGATGATATAATAGTTGCTACATTCAAGATGCTAACGTCTGCTGCAACAAATCAAGTACGTTTGCTGCTTCATTTGCTGCTTAGTTGCAATAAAGTGCCTGAACCTAAAAGAGATCTTGACTTATTTGTACTTAATATGTCCTCCGTTTTGCTGAATAAGTTGCTCAATAAGGAGTTTATTATATTATCTACAAGTTAGTCTTCAATCTTTTTCTAATGAATTGTTACATGAGTTTTTTCATTAACCCTAGTTGTTTCAGTTAGGAAGCCTTTTTTAGCAACATGCCTGATGTATCATACTATCATTATTATGTAACTGATAATAGTGTGTGAATCATCTAACTTGCTAGTATATTACGAATTTATGACCTGATTGTACTCATTATCAAGTTGCATTTTCCTTGCTGCAGGCATCATTTCTTTCCGCTGTGATTGCCCCCGAAGAGAATGCGAATTCGCAAGCATACGTTACTGACAAAAATCAAGCATGTCAGTACCTATTACGGTCCAAGGATGCAAATGTATTGGATACTATTTCTCTATATGTAAAGAAATCTGCAGAACTAATGGAAAAGTAAGCCCCCCCTGCTCTTCAAGATCGTATTCATAGTTCTGATTAACTAATCAGAATTTTTTCCCTTTGAATGATGCTGCTTGAGTTGATATAATGATATAAAATAATGATTTTTTTCCAGCAACCCCAAAGTACTTTATAATTTGCTGAACTTCCTGAAGGCACTGTGGCAAGGAGCGGCTCACTACAAAAATATTTTGAAGCAGTTAATAGCCTCAGAATTCTGGAGACAAATGTCTAATTCTCTCATGCAAATTAAAGATTCTGAAGATGTATTAGAAGTTCACCCTTGTGACGCAGCTTATAGAAACAAATGCCGATCCAGTGTAATGGACTTGATGGCTCATGAGATGCTCCTACTAATAAAGTCATTAAATGCTGACTTGCATGTGAAGCAGACTTCTCCATGGCTACAGGACGGTGCAGATAAAACAATTAGTTCTTCATCAATAGATAAAAGCGAAAATAGTATAGTAGATATTCTTATGACATGGTTCACAAGCTCGTCATTAGAAATACTGATCAAGTTCATTGTTGCTGTTGAGTATGATGATCACACTAATATAAATGGGAAGGTACGCAATGATTTTCTGATACTATCATATGTAAAAGAAACATCTTGGTTCTCAACCATTCCTTTTTTGCATACTCTTACGTCTTTATATCATCCATGCTACTTTAGCGGTCTTATAATTTCAAATAATCTGGGCAACTATAGTAATGCTGCGCTTTAACTGGGTGGGAAAAAAATGCTGATGTGACTTTTTCTTAATTTGCAATTGAACTGCTGACCGGTGAATGATAGTTGTTCAGAGGCATGCTATATTGATTAGACATTTAGACTATAACTCACAATTTTTTAAGGATCAGTTAACAAATTCTTCCTGATCCAATAAATATAATGTGTACCGCCTCATGAAGTGCCCAAATATATTCCTGTTAACAATTCCAACCTGAATATCTACTAAGGTGGAGTTTGTAAACTAAGACTGCTTATGAGCTGTATCCTTTCCTTTTCCTTCGTAGTCTTTTGTGGCTGTTCAAATTAAATGTCTTTGTTTTTGCTCTTGTATATTCTTGCAATGCAAGTATTTTTTATTGCGTTCAACATAATATCCACTTCATATCAGTAACCCTCACACCGAGCTACTTATGTAAATGGAAACAATATGATAGTACTGGAAAAGCATCAGTATTTAGTTATTTACTGCAATGTTCAATTTTCATAGCTTCAGTGGCTCTCTTTTCTTGGGATTTTCAGAGGTGAATAATTGAGAGATACTGGAACTAACTCCATGGTAGTGTTCTTCTGTTGGGTAGGCTTCTTTTTCACCTACAAGAGTGTTTATTTGTTAAAAAATCTTGCAGATTGCCGCTAGCTTGCTTGCTGTGCATTTGATGGCTAAAGTCAGAAAGGGTGATACTGGGAGTTTGTCTGTTTCACTCATTGATAAGATCTCTATCCTGTCTCAAAAGGTTAAATTCTTTTTTCGTTGCTTCTGTAGAATTAGGATGTACCTCTCCCACTTTCTATATGACATACCAGACTACAGCAAAATATGCTGAACATTGATTTTTCTGTTCATACATTAGCTGCATATTTACTCATTAGCCGCATATGTACTTCTACTTTATAATTTTTCCTTCTTTGGCTTGTATACTTTTTATATAGTTGAGCAAGCTGCCTGCATTTTGTGAGCTTATGTCATATTATGGAGATCGTGGTTACAGGTATTCCTTACATAATCATCATTTTCTGCGGCCATTTTATGTTAATCTTAACATAAGTTACTTTGTGTGCTACTTGTTTGATGATAAGATGTCACAACATTTTTAGATTTGTTTATTTTCTCACAACCAAAATTGTATTGAACACATGACTAGTGTGTGGATAGTTCCTGATACTTCTCTTTATTATTAAAGGACAAATGCTACAAAAGGCATACACATACATATTTGTCAAAGTAAGGCCAATGAGGTTGTTTGTACACTTTTAATTTAGGGTTAGTTTGGTAAAAAGATTAGACATTGAGACACTATAGGATTATCAGCTCTCTCTGGGGTAAGCTATCACAATTCTCTATTTTGTACTTGGGGTTAAAACTCTGATGCCCGTATGGTCATTTCGATCCGAACTGTTTGGCAGTTTCCATACTCTTTTATTTTTCAGAAATTACCATCAGAATTAATAATTAAGCAACTCTTTAGTGTATATGTTTCTACTTTGAAAGATCTATTTTTTCATATATGTCATATTATTTGTTTAAAAAGACTAAGTCTGTCCCACATTCTCTTTGAACCAGTGGAGGTGAAGAATTACACAGTTTGATTCTCAATGATCTCTTCTATCACCTACAAGGAGAGCTTGATGGCAGAGAAATCAGCCATAAACCATATAAAGAACTATCACAGTTTTTACTAGGGTCTAAGTTTTTGCAAACCTATCGACGTGAGGGGGATGATGGATTTCTTCCTCAAGCCAAGGGCGCCTACTTGTTTGACGTTGACCATCTTGAAACAGCAATGGGGATAGATTTCTGGAACTTTTCTGGTTGGGAATCATCTAAACCAATTGCTGAAGTCTTGCTGGTGTGGTTGCAGAAGGTCAATTCCATGACATTGGTGATTAGATCCAAACTTCTTTCTGTAAAACCTTTGATAATTCTGCTCTCTATGTTTGATGATAAAGTAAGTTCTCAACCTTTTGAAAATTTTCGGGACTTTCACTCCTAAACAGCTACTCCCTCCCCATATTTAAGTTCCTATTTCCCTCTTTGGGATGTCCCATAATAAAGTTCACACTTCCATTAAGGGTAATATTCTTATGGTAAAAGACATTTTTATCCTCCAACTTACCCCAGGTCATTTATCCCCTTCCTTTGATTTTACCCCTTTTTACTTTTATTCAAAATGGTAAGGGTATAAGTTAAAGTGTGAAGTCAAAGTGTGAACTTTTATCCTCCACTTTTATACCCGCAAGTGGTAAGGGTATAAGAAGAAACTAAATACAAAATATTATTCCACCTAAAAAACCCTGAAGTCAAAGTGTGAACTTAATTATGGGACAGAGGGAGTATTAGTTATGCCTTGGATGAGATATGTTTTGCTTGTAATTTTTACCAACTCTTGCAGTTGATTCAGCTTGGATCTGCAAATGGTGGAAAGATTCCTGAGCAACCTATATTGTCAAGCATCAGCTACACATGTCAATGCCTGCAAGCCACAGTAGACACCCTAGCTTCGGTTGGTGATGCCATTAGTGATACATTTGATATCCTTGCAGCTCAAACGGAGTTGCTCTTCCATCTTGTCAGTTCAATGAAAAGAAGTCTGTCTTTACCTACTTTCTTGCTGATACTAAAAACATCAGGTCATGGCCTTAAAGTGTTAAGTTCTAGGCCATCTGATACCAGTTTTGCAACAACAACAAAGGAACTGCTTATGTTGATTCTTTACTCGGTCAAATCCCTTTGCAACAAGTTGGAATGCAGTTCTCTTACTGAAACTGGTAATGGATCTGGTGAAGCGTTATCAGAGGCTGCAAATGTCAGCTTGGGACTGTTACCCATTCTATGCAACTACATCGGAGTTGCTGATTATTGCACCCTCTGCCTGACTACTATTGATGTAGTAGTTAAAAGTTTCTCGACATCTGCTACATGGTTCCCTATTATCAAGAATCATCTCCAACTGCAACATATTGTCCATAAACTTCTAGACAGGAACTCCTGTGCAGATGTACATATTATATTGAAGTTTCTTTTAACAATTGCATGTGCCAGAGAAGGAGCAGAGATGCTAATGAGTGCTGGAGTTTTTGCATATTTACGGGAGTTACTGGCTGACTTTGCTGATGGTGGACCATATTCAGTGGTTCAGAACCAGAGGGCTCTTTCAGACACATTTAAGAACAATGAAAAACCTCAGTCCATATGGGGACTGGGTCTGGCAGTTGCTACAACTATTATTCACTCTCTGGGAGAAAGTTCAGGTGTTGTCGATTATGTGATGGCTTACCTGATCGTGGAGAAAGCAAATACAATTTATTATTTTCTTCGTGCTCCTGATTTTTCTTGTGATGATCCTGAGAATAAAAAAGCGGCTGCCATCAAAACATGTACTTCATTGTATGCTCTTAGGGAGACAGAGAATATACTGACTCTAATATGTGTGCTAGCTAGGTATCAAAACTCATGGAATAAGGTTATGAAAGACATGGAGTCAGAGTTGCGTGAGAGATGTATCCATCTACTGGCTTTCATTAGCAGGGGAACACTTCACCACGGGGAAGCACCTACAAAAAGTGCCTCATTGTTGTGCCATCCATCCCTTAGGGACGAGATTGAGTGGCAAAAGATGCCATCATTTATCAATAGCAGAAAGGGTTGGTTTGCTCTATCATCTCTTGGTTGTGACCTCGGCCCAGATTTTTCTTCAAGGATGGTGACAAGTATCGTGGACAAAGGTCAATCAAATGGAGTTGTTACTCTGGATCCCCAGACACATTTTTCTGATGTTGTGGCTGTTCAGATCTACCGTATCACTTTTCTTAATCTGAAGTTCTTATGTATACAAGCCGAGGGAGCTGCTGGAAGGGCACAAGACATAGGTTATGTTGATCTTGCTCATTTTCCAGAGTTACCGATGCCTGATATCCTACATGGCTTGCAGGTAACTATACCTGAAATATGCCTTTTCTAACTATTCATTCAAGTAATTGTTTTTTGCAGAAACAGACCGAAAATAACTGAACCAAATCCGCCAAAGCAGAGTAAATCTAGTCGGTTCGGTTTACGGTTTTACTTTTCTCAAAATCGATTCGATCTAAACTGAACCGACAAAACCAAAAACTGACAAAACCGAACCGATGAACACCCCTACTACTGGTGATAACTGTAATCTATTGTAGCAATTGCTACTTATTCACGTTTGCAATGTTTATTAACCAGAGGAGGAATTGAATAGTGCAAGAAGTTTTTGCTTGATACTGGCTTCAATTGGTTTGTTGGATCATATTAAATGATTATTACTTATGTGGTTTCTGAAATAATGAAGATTGTGAGTTAGCCAAATCAGAACTTGTTATGTTATTACTTATGTTATATTATCATGTTTTGTAGAACCAGGGCATATCTATTGTTGCTGAAGTATGTGAAGCCAACAAGTTGAAGCAGGTTAGCTCAGAGGTGCAGGGTGTCTGTGTCTTGCTGTTACTAATAACAATAATGGCATTGTACCTGGAATTTTGTGTGATCCAAATATGTGGAATGAGACCTGTCTTAGGACACGTGGAGGACTTCTCCAAGGAAATAAAATTGTTAATAAGAGGTACCTGCAACTGAACCTTGCCTTTTTTGTTCCCTGCCATTCAAAATGTTGAATTGATGAGCACATGTCCTATTCGATAAATTAATGAATTCAACTAAAGGAGTTAACTCATGAAGCTGTCACATAAACCTTACAGTTGGCTGTTTTTTTTTGTTTTTCGTTTCTTGTTTTCTGTTCTTTATTCTGGAATTGGATCTGGTATTTAAACCATGTTGTCAAGTGATTTAATCATTATAGGGATACGTGTTATGGAAGAGTAAATAAGTAGGAACCCTGATCACCCCCTCCTGCCCTCATCTTGTTTCAATACACCATTTTTTGCTTATGGGTGTGCCCTGTTTTTGCAGCAACGGAGGGGCATGTGTTTCTGAAAGAGCATATGAAGTCCTTAAAACAGATAATCACTTTTGTATATCCCGATTTGCTGCAAATGGAAGACTTGCGTTGACTTTTTTTGTAGATATGTTGATTAGTCAAGCACAGCTAATTCTCTGTTACTTTTGTATTGCTTCTGTTGTATTATTCAGCTTCCATTGAGAGAATGACGGAAGAGTGCAACTTTTTGGAAAACCATTCCAAAAAGTGTAAAAAAATAGTACATGACAACATGTTGTGGGACCCTCAACAAAATAAATCTCTTAAATTTTACGATCTTTATAACTTTTGCATTTGTTTTCCATTTTTTATAAAAAATATATCAAAACTCATGATTTTTAATTATCTTTCATATGACACCAATATCACATACAACAACAACATCCAAGCCTTAGTCCCAAAAGATATTGAGGTCGGCTAACATGAATCGATACATGATATCACAACCAAAAGGAAAAGAAGGAATAAAGATAAAAAGATAAGCTATTATGAAAAGATAATATAAAAAAGATGACTATATATAAAAATGATAAAATAAAAAGGCTACAAATAATGCATATATATATACAAGGATAAAAAAAACTAGGAAAAAAAAGATGAGGGAAAAAGATTATCAAGATCACTCCTCCACTTAGTTTTCTCCAAAGTCATGCCCTCATCCAACCCCAGAAGAAGCATATCACTTCGAACTCCCCTAACCCACGTCTGTTTGGGTCTTCCTCTCCTTCTCTTCCCTGCCTCTTCTCCACACATCTCAACTCGTCTAACAGGTGCATCACATATATAAAGTTTTTTTAAAAAGTTTGAATTGTTGGAGTTTTTGGACTCAAATTTTTTCTTAAATAGATCCAAGTACTAAAATTCAGATCACATGATTTTTTACACTTATTCACTCACGACAATATTTGTAAATTAAATCCTTACGATTATTATTATAATTGATTTTATTCTTTTTACGAATTATTATGATTTAAAAATTCAAACATTCCCAATGTAAATTATGTAAATTTGTCATTTAGTTTTTTTTATTACTTCAAGCCTATTTTTGAAAAGAATAATTGGAAGATGTAAAAACATTAATCGTGAGATCTTGAATTTATCACTTCAATCTCAATTTTATCACTCAAATCTACCTAAGAAATTTCAGATTCTAGAAGTTTTTTTTAACTTTATATATACAATATTGATGTCATATTAGTCAATTTCTAAAACATACACTTTTTGGAACGTAAGAAACATGCTCTTATAAGTCGACACCCGCTTCCATTACTCATCGTTGCCGATGACTTTTAGAGAACTGAGGTGTCTTTATCATCCCACATACACATGAATCATGATAGGACAATTTTAATTAAATACTCCGTTATTACTCCGTATTATTCAGTGTTGACGATGACTTGCCACCAAAGATTCCAGCTAAGCCGGGCCCCACCTGTACCAAAACAATAAATAAGATGGTCATTTCTATGGTACCTTGATGGCATGGACCAATAAAAAATTTTCAATTGAATAATTGAAATGAAAATAAAATGTAAAACTTTGAGTTGCACCAATGAAATGTATCCTAAGTATGGTACCCTCCTATTTTTGTTGGGTACCATAGCAAGCACCAAATAAGATATCTCCATTTCCACGTACCTTTTTTGAAGGAAAAAAACATCTTTTGTCATTCACATAAAATTGTTCCATAATTAATTAACTAATTACTACGGGATATTTTAAAAGATCGAGCTAATGCTTAACAGCAGCCACTTTTTAATAAAAGCAACCCAAGCAGGCAAGCAGCCCAGAAGAGCTGGAAGAAGAATTACTATAAGCCTATAAGGCACAGGCTGGATGGGTGGTCAGTACTCTAAGCAGGTTGAGCGGCGAAAATCTATTCACGCCGGGAGGAAGTACTTACAAGATCTCCAGACCAAAGACGGCAATGAATTCCCCGGTTCCGATTACCATCCACCTGATAGGAAAACATGGATGACTGATCTCGACCCGCATAAAATTCGGGTCAACCAGATCATCTGGCCTGGGACCCACGATTCTGCCACAAACAAGATTGGTATTCCCATGGTTTCCCGACCCTTCGCGCAGTGCCAATCTTTGTCAATCTACCGGCAGCTGGGCGCCGGTGCCAGGGTTCTCGACATCCGGGTTCAGGAGGACCGGAAAGTGTGCCACGGGATCCTCACTACCTACGGCGTCGACGTCGTCATCCGCGACGTCAAGAAATTTCTCTCGGAAACCCAATCGGAGATCGTAATCCTGGAGATCCGAACAGAGTTCGGGCACAATGACCCGTCGGAATTCGATAAGTACCTGGAAGAAGAGCTCGGGGAGTATCTAATTCACCAGGACGATCACGTATTCGGCAAGACGATCGCAGAGTTGTCCCCGAAGAGATTGATATGCGTTTGGAAGCCCCGGAAAACGTCCCAGCCAAAAGCAGGTGGTCCGCTTTGGAGTTCCGGTTACCTGAAAGATAACTGGATCGACACAGACTTGCCGGAGAAGAAATTCGAGAGCAACATAAAGCATTTGAGCGAGCAGCCGGCGGTGGGGTCCCGGAAATTCTTCTACAGGGTGGAGAACACGGTGACTCCTCAGGCGGACAATCCGGTGTTGTGCGTTAAACCGGTGACGAACCGGATTCATCCGTACGGAAGACTTTTCATAAAGCGATGTGTATCGGAAGGGCATGCTGATAAGTTGCAGATATTTTCGACGGATTTCATTGACGACGATTTCGTGGACGCATGTGTTGGGCTTACCAGTGCAAGAGTCCAAGGAAAAGTCTGATAATCGGCCGTACATACTATACAGTGTATATTGGATGTATTTGAGTGGATTGAAATTTTATGGTCATGTGATCTATTTAAGTTTATTTTCGTTTATGTGTATTTTATTATTATGCATTTGAGTTTGGTTTAATATGATTTTGAAATCAAAATAATAAAATACAAAGAAAATCTCACTTTTAATCCGGCAACTTTTGGTTTTGCCGATTTTAATCTTGTAATTTTACATAGTTGCAGATTTGGTTGTGCAAATGTGCAATCAATCAAATATGCCGACAACATATTTTCCTTTGAATTTACGTTTGAAAAGTGTACTTTTTAGTAAAAAAATTCTAAGATTGCAAATTAATTTCTCTGTATTAGTTAAAAACCAAACCTGTGCAGGTGTGTAAAGTTACATAACTAATAATGAGTCTACAATTACAACTCTGTCTAAAAAAGTCCTCCGCTTTGAAATATTTCATCACGCTTTCTAAACTTAATTTCCCATTTTTACATTGATAGGATTAATGTTAATTTTACAGCATAATTTATTGTAGTGTGAAATATCATGTAATATTGTTTCGATATAATAAATGTTTAAAGAAATTGTTCTCAAGTATTAGCCTATTATTAGGAATTATAATTCATGAACACCTCATGATCATCATTAAAATTAATAAGATTTGACTCAAATGTAATACTGGGAATTTAATAACGGTACGTTTTGGTGACATACTTAGATTATTTTTGTACATTTTCTGTACGTTTTGAAGTTTGAACTAATAACTGTACGTTTTGGTGACAAAGTTAACAAGCTAGTAGGTTGCATTCGCTTTGATAACTCTCCGTTTAAGTTCCGAGTTTCAAATAAGCTTACCTTACAAGAAGTTATTATTTTATTAAACATCAAATATTACTTCTTGTATTTTAATAGAGCTTATCAGATATTATTTTAATTTATCTGTGTTCTATATTATTATATTCATGTATATTTGTTTAAGGGAAAATGGAAATTAATAATCCAACCTTTTAACGATCTTCTTACAATAGTCCCACCTTTTGATTATTCAGGAATAAACCAACTTTTGCACCCCATCTTCATTCAATGGTCCCTGACCTGTCGATGACCTGCTATTTCAAGTTATTTTCTTATCTTTGCAAAACATTATGTGACCAAAAGGTGAGATTTATGGTATAATATATTGCAAAGATAAGAAAATAACATTTGGAATAGCAGGTCATCAATCGGTCAAGGACCATTGAATAAATATGGTGTGCAAAGTTTGAATTATTCCTGAATAATCAAAAGATTGGACTATTGTTAGAAGACCGCTAAAAGGTTGGATTATTAGTTTCCATTTTCCCTTTGTTTAATTGTTTTCCGGTACTTTGTACAACTCTCAAAGTAGTTAGAAGCTATCTCATGGAGAGTACGTGCGTGGGGGATTAATTAGGTTGTAGACTAGTAGTGCATGTATAATGTATATGGATTTAAATCATCATATTGTACACCATGAAAGGGTAAACATATAACATGCAATATTAAGGCCTAACATAATCAAGCTTTTTGGGATAACAACTCACAAAAATGTTTCCCCCTCATAAGTTCGTCACACAAATGAAATAAAATTAACTCAACGGTGGTGGCCGATGGTGGTGCGGCATTGCCGACTGGATGATCAGTGGAACTAGCTAGGCGGGCGCGGGAGCGGTGGCATTAAGAAAGGCGTGTAGTGGCGGCGGAGGCGGGGCTGCACCCGAGTGAGGGCATTGGTAGCACTTGGTGAAGAGGCCAAAGGTGTCAATTTGGTGCATGAAATTGAGCATGCTTGCCCACCCACCAAACCCGAACCCAACAATGACCACCCACACCACTATGAATATGTTTATGGTATACGCCCCGGCCCATCTTCCCAAGTATTTCGGCGGCTGCTCCACCGCATTCTGCATAGACAAATACATATCATCAAGTACTTCTATGTTTTATTCTCCAAATAGGACTTATTTAATTATATTAAAAGAATATGTTGAATAAAACTTTCTAAAATAGAAGTCATCGAATGAGTCCTGCTTGGGAATAAAACAATGGTAATTGTATTTATGAATTCTTTTATTGTTTTAGTCCTATTTAAAAAAAGATTGTCTCTATTTTACCATGTATCTCAAAATGTAGAATTTTTATAATATATCGGGTATGTGCAATCATATTAGGATGAAACTGATGTATTAACAGTTATGAGTTAAAACTAGTAAAAAACACATCAAAACAATATTTGCTAATAACATAGCAGCCAAAATTATGCAATAAAAGACAGATCAAATATGTGATGGAACAAAAATTACTAACCTCCCGAGCTTCCGGTGATTTGAAGGTGAAGATGTGAGCAAGAGCGGGGATGATGTAGACGGTGAAGCTAACCAGAAGCGACCCGACAGTGGAGTTGATGGGCCCGAAGAAAGGGAAGACGATGGCGAGGAACCAAATAGGTATGACCACGGGCATTCTCGCGAACGCCCGCTTGCAAAGGCCGGTTTTCGAGCCGTGGATGCCTATTGCCTTCTCCCAAACAAAGTATAGGGGCGTCGAGGCAAACCCGAAGGTAATGAACTGGTGGATGAGCATGAGGACGACGGCCACGTCACGGAAGGGCGTCTTCGGGAGGAGAGAAAAGGCATTGGAGTGTTCCAGCAGCAAATCTCCAAAGGCCCAATACACTGCAGCTGCTGAAGGTAGTGTTAAGGTTAACACATACATGGTTGCCCACATGTATATTGCTTTAAACTTCTGTGGCTTCCACATTGCATGCATTATCTCTCTGTACAAGTTTTTGCACCCATAGTAAATATTCATCACCCATATCTATTGTTGCACTAAATTATTTAGGGCTAATGTAGTTTCAGTCCCTAACTTTTAGTTCTCCCCACTATTAAGCATTTTAATGTTACTTCTTGGAGATAATCAGAGTTGTCTAATATAATGAATTTGGAGGTCCCGGTTTCAAACGTAACATCGAGACCCCACATTAATTTAAAAAATTAAAAAAATCTCAATCTAAATACTTATACTCAAAACAATTGAGTACTCATTAAATAATATAATAAAAAAAATCTAAAATTTATTTAATACGTAGTACTTGATTTAGAGCAACACAACTCATCACTCAAGGAATTGAGTAAAAGAGGAGTTGTCACCTTATTAGAAAAGTCATTGCTTGCATCAACCTTTTTGTTGACAATAATAAATTGGGGTTTTTACAAGAATATTACTAAAATAAGTCATATTTACATAAATATGATTATTAATTACTACAATGTGGTGTTGTGCTAATTTAAGCTCAAAACTTGAACATGAATTACTATGATTTCATTACTACTCTAGTCATTAATCATATTTTTGTAAATCATCTTTATTTTGATCATATTTATGTAATTATTTCTAATAAATTATAGTGAAAAAGTATTTAATATAGATAAATTTACTGGTACGTAATTACATATTTACATGGCTAATTTAGAAGTTCGTAAAACTATGGACAAAATATTGGACACGAGACTAATGTACAATTTTCACTGCTATTTATTACCCTGCTCATAGCTTTGGTCGGGTTTTATTATGATTAATTAAAATTAAATGATCGTTAAAATTGCTTTTTAAAATATCTTTTTATTTTTTTATTGATCTTTCATTCATGATTTAATCTATTTAAAATTTTAAACCATTCAAATAATCTAATGGTCCAAATCCTATGGGTTGACTACATTGCCTTTGCAAGGAGTTGACCTGTATATTGCCAGTGCCAGGTGGGGTCGGAATTATAAGTTTATAACAATAATTGATTCAGCACTAAAAAAGAAAGAGTTGGCGCTTTAATTCGCACGCCTTAAAACATTTAGAAAGGAAGCAATATATCGTAGAGATCCCATATAAGATTAAAGTACGTACATCGTATATAGATAGGCTCATACTCTCATAGGCCAATGCACAATATAAGTGAGAATGACTATTATACTCCCTACATGCATAGATAGTATATAGGGGGTGTTTGATAAACGACGTTTTCAACACGTGAAAAAGTTTTTTGGTAAATAGGGTTTTGCACTAGTGTTTTTGGACGAAAACGCTGAAATGAAAACGCGGTTAATATGAGAGTTTTGGGTTGGCGTTTTGAAAAATGGAGTTTTCTACTGATTTATGGCTAAACAACTAAATTACCAAACATCTTGTGACAACCTGCCAATTTATTCCGCTAGTCAAAATCGCTGACTGAATCCGCTATTGACAACCCGCTAACATAACCCACTAACCACTGAATGCCAAACACGTCCATATACTCAACAATTTAATTAAGGCAACGTCGTTTATTAAAGATTTGAAGAATTGATACCATAAGGAGTAAATTTTGTATTCAAATATTGACAACTGCAATGAAAAATTATTATGTGGAAATTCACAAGGCCCTTACAAGTACTTGAAACTAGCTCGTTATCTATTAGTTTGTGATTAAAATCTTTTTTACACGTGTTTTTCAATTAATTGTCCTGTCGATATTGAGAGTTGTCATGAAATATATATCATCATTTTTTTTGGAAGTTGTTTCTATATTTCATTCTCTGTATATGTCTCCTTATATGGTAGTCGAGTCAAGAGAGTAAATAGTGAAAGTGTGTTGCGGTAGAAAACAAGAGAAAATTCCATCTCGTATGACTAAATGAGGATGTCTTTCCTCATCTATGACTAAATGGAGTTTTATTCTTATTGTATGACTCATATGTGTCATGCCCATGCACGTGGCTTTATATTTATATTTTAATTCCACAAGTGCCCTCTTTCCATTTAATTAATGAGCAGTTATTTCACTCCTAAAATGAAGAGTCGAGCTGTTATATCCCATGATGTTACTGACGGACTACATGCACACACTTAATGAAAAATAATCGCTAAGAGAAATAACAACATGATTAATTCAAAGAACCTCCTAAAAATAAGGAATTAATCAATACAAGGTAACTCTTTCCATTAGTTCCTGCAAATAACATCATATTTTCATAACACATGGCCCTTATTACAATACTTATACTGCCCAGTTTTATATTTCATGCATGTGCAATGTTTAAAACTCCTTCCCAGTTTTATATTTTTTATTAACTTAATGCATATGTATTTTTAATACTGCCCTTTATTTTGTCAAACATCTGAATGCCCATTTTATCAACTTAATGAATCTGCATGCATTTGTTATACTGCCCTTTATTACAAGACATACTCAGTTACTCACTATGCCCTCTTCTAATTACTACACGTACCTACTACTATTACTCAATGCCCTCACTTCGTTAAGTCTACTTATTGCTTTAAAAGATCCACATTTCATTCCAATCCGCATCTATTCTGATAGCAATGCCCTTAGTCTGCCTTAATACTGCCTAATACTTCCGATTAATTTTTACAGCCATGGAATTACTACTTCATAATGCTCTTACTCAATGATCTCAAAAAAATGGTTTAGTTACTGCCCAAATTCAGTTTTATCCAACTCATTCTTCCATTGTTGTACCCACGTTCATCTACTACTCTAATATTTCCCTAATACTTCCGTATACCTTCTCCTTCTGTATGCAATAACTGAGTGTCACATGCCTAGAAAATCGGCTGGTTTCCGTTTCGTAATAAAGTTCCTTTTTGGTTTAAATTCTACGGAAGACATACATGTCAGGGCAATGAGGTAATTTTGGTTCGTTTTAAATTTACCCAGGCTCATGAACAATGACCGGTAGTCATATTATTGACAATTCAGTTTTTAAGTCATATTTAGAGAAAGTGTTTGTGTTTTAGTCTTATTGCCGTATTTTTCCCATAGAAAACAAACCATAAGATAGGTGAAAGTAAAAAGTGAAAGTAAAACATGCGAGTCTTACACAGTGACGGCATGTCCGCCGAAGGTGTAAAGAATGTTTGTTGCCCCTGTAAAGTATAGAACCAGTTTCGTTGGTCCTGAATGCTTCACCCCCTCCACCTGCATTATTATGTTAATTATGTGTTACGTTTCTTCTAGTTGTTTTTTTTTCCGTTACTAATCATTAATTGTTCAGAAAATAATGCAGACTGATTAGAGCTGAGATTAATTCTAGGTTCAATTGGGTGATCAAAATCAAATGACCACGTTACTACAATAATGGGTACTATTTTAAGTTGATTAAAATAGTGCAATATTAATAAGATGTACGTACGTTCTTAGATAACTTACTGAAGAGGCATATAAATTGTTCAAAATGGGTCAAAAACACAAGCAAAGTTCTAACAAAAAAAAAGACTAAAATATACGCAACATATCTAAAATAGGACAAAAGATATTTTTTTACGAAAATAGGACTTACAACTTGTTCTATTAAAAAATAAAATAATAGAAATTTCCATAAAATAGTGATGCGTTACTCGTATTTTGGGTGAAAAAAATATACCTCCTATTTAAGAAAATCGACCGAATTTTATCGAGTAAGCGGTTTTAAACTTCTCTAGATATGAGTACATGAGTACCATTTTGAGAAGAAAGCGTTGTGATTCGTATTTAAAAAGTGCAACATTTTACTTCTATTTAAATGTGCATTAGCACTCATGGGGTCTTCGTCTAAACCCCGTAGAAAGGGTGAAATGTCACTTTTTTATACATACGTCACTTTTTTATAACATTAAGACGGAGACCCTCAAATTGAAAACATATACCCCTTTGTGAAATAATGAATCGCAGACCCTTATGTACAAAATCACACAATCACAAGCACTACGAAAAAATCTCAGGATTAGCAAGGATTTTGACAGGGAAATGTCAAATCCGTGCCAAAAACAGTTTGGCACGAGCTATTTGGCACGAAAAATCGGTAACTCTGTGCCAAATTCTGTGTCAGTCCCATAACTTTTTTTTGTAGTGAAGTACATTTTTTAGAATTCCTAGTATATGATGGAATTAGAATACATACTTGACCATGGAGAAGGGAAGCAAGGGTGAGGTACCAAGCGGTGTAAGAAGTCATCAATAGTCCAAGAAAAGACCAAATCCGATAGTTGTGGAAAGATGGGATGAACACAGTCGTCGCACAGCATGCTCCAAATATGTACGTCCAACTCCTCTTGTCCAGCTTATCATTTATGTAATATATGTTGCTGAACCATACATTAATAACTTAATTAATTAATCAACATGCACATTTTATATACATAACCCATCAGTCATCACTTAGTTATCTTATCATATACTTCATCTATTAATCACATATTCTTTTGGTTAGAGCTTAGAAAGTCTAGTCGTAGTCTATAAAAATTTCAATGTGATTGTCATTCCTAATTCCAATGTTACTAGCTAGGAGAAGAATGGTTTGATGGGACATGGGATGCAATTCGAACATGTGACCTCCTCTTTGGAAGAGTCATGATGTCATCAGACCATAAAGTACTTGAGTGTTTTAGAATTAGTCACAGAATGTTATTGTATGAGTATTTACCTAGATATTACTCCCTCTGTATCTATTTAATTGTCACATTTTCCTTTTTTGATGTATCAAATTAATTGTCTCCTTTCTTTTTTTGGAAAGAATTCTACTCAAAAATTAGCTACAGTACCACTACAGTACTGCTATAGTACCAAAAACCTCTTACTTTTTATAAAGTCTACAGTAATTGTCTTAAACTCCGTGAAAAAGCAAACGGGTCATCTAATTAGAAACTGAGAGAGTTGCAACAATCAACATTTCACATTTGACGACGCAAATCTTTGACCGTAATTATATCTTAATTTTATTAGTAAAAATATATTAAAATCAAATTTTTAATAATCGTAATGAGATGAATTAAACAATATTTTTTTTAAGAAAAAATCATAAAGTAATAGCGGTGAACTGTCAAAATTAAAAAGTTGACTCATTCAAATTTTCTAGCAAGTCAAATGGCTCAAAAAGAGAGCGGTGAATCGTTGTAGAAGTCGGGCGGTAAACTTTCAAGACCCGTTAACAATACGCGCAAGTGCTAAAGTGGTTTTCAAACTGTTATACGACTCCGCCTCTATTTATAAAGTCCTGTGAGGGAGGAGTTTCTTCCATTTCTCGGTGTGGGAAAAATGAAGAAGCGAAATAAAGGGAAAAGGGAACGTAACAACGCCAATTCTGAAATGTAACTGTGCAGTTTCCGAATAGTTTCCACCTAGCATTGTACGTGACTGTCAACCAGTTTAACTTCAAGAACAATTTGATGCTAGTTTAATTTTGTTGGTATTAATTCTAGGTTTTTACTCATTAACTATCAATATATTTAATTGTTCAAGTGTACGAATATGATCTTATTAAGTTCATGTATAAAGCTAAGTATAGTGGATTATAAGTTTTTTATTGTGTTGACTGTTGATCGAGTTAATCCGGTTTTGACCGGACTGACCTAGTTAGGAGTTGCGGGTTGAACCGTGATCAAGTCATTTGATTGGGTCAACTACAAGTCAAATTCTTATAAGAGCATCTCCAATGCCATATTGTGCACGGTGCACATGTGGCATGAAAGATAACCACATAAATATTAGCAAATAAATTATCTCTCTCCTTATTTGAATGATTTTATACAATTTTGGTAAGTTTTCCACTGCAATGTCAACTGCAATGTCAACATCTAGACGGTCTCCTTGACATTGTGTAGAAAAACTTACCAAAACTGCATAAAACCATTCAAATAAGGAGATAAAGAATTTATTTACTAATATTTATGTGGCTATCTCTCATGTCACGTGTGCACCGTGCACATTGTAGCATTGGAGATGCTCTAAGATAGGATGACTGTAAACACGGGTGGAGGTAGGAGGCCAGTTTTGGCCCCGGCTCATCCCAAATCTAAATTTTCTTTTCATTATTAGTATACAAAATTTCGTATAAAATATGTAAAAAATACTAAGAAACGATCTAGTCTAGCTTAGCACAGTGCATTGACTACGCCCCAGATCGATCTGTGGAAGATTGATGGGTCGATCTTCCTTCACTCAAATTAAACCTTAATTCAAATTCCTATATTTAATTTGGTCGTGATGACTTATGAATTAAGCACAGATCACATGCATGTGATATACTAAGTACATACCTAGCACATGCAATGAGCTGAATGACAGAGCCAAAGAGAAGAAAAGTGCAATTAAAGGCCAAACCCACGTTTCTCCAATGCTTTCCCAGCAGCCCATCCAGTACTTCAAACCACTAATTAAATAATAAGATCCATCAACCCATGTTTATACTAATCAAATTTCATCGTCACTCCTTGATCAAGAAGTTACGTTGTGCATCTATATATGCCCTCATGCACCAATTGTAATATTAATCTACAAACTCAATAATATGCATCACTTTAAACTTCAATATGCAGTAAAAATAATGTAAACATGCAGGGGTGAGATCACATAAAAAGTAGTCCTCACATTCAAATCATCTTTACATTATTTGTATTGCACATTGAAGTTCAAAGTGTTTCATATTATTCAAGCTATAAAATAGCAGTTTCATATTTACATTATTTGTATTGCATATTGAAATTCAAAGAGTGCATCTTTACATTATTTGTACTGCATATTGAAGTTCAAAGTGTTGCATATTATTGAGTTTGTAGGTTAGTAAGTTAAGCATGGTTTATATGTGATCTCACCCCTATATATATATATATATATATATATATATATATATATATATATATATATATATATATATATATATATATATATATATATATATATATATATATATATATATATATATATATATATATATATATATATATATATATATAGGGGAGGGTTCAAATACAAAGAGGTCTTCCCATGCAAAGTGAGAATTAATCTCGTGCGTTCATTTTGAGATCTAATGGCTCAAAATGAGCCAAAAGTGAACTAAATTTGATCAAAAACGCGGTGGCAATTTCGTAATTAGAATGAAGTTTTTTGCCATCGCGAAAAAGTGCAACAGAAACACGCAAAAGTGCAACGCGGTGAAGAAAAAGTGCAATTGTTCGCACTTTGCACGGGAGAACCTCTTTTTATTTGATTTCTTCCCTATATATATATATATAGATATATATATATATATATATATATATATAGGTATGTATGTATGTATATAAGGGAGAACTATCAAATAAGCCCTCGAACTTTCACAAAAAGTGCAAATGAGCCCTTTTATAGGAGGCTATGTCCGACTGTCGTCATTTGGGCGGTTTCGAGGGGAAATTTTTGATGAAATTTTTTAGCATCTTCTTCATTAAGTCTAGTTTACTCTTACCAAATTTCAGCTAAATATTCAATCAGGAAGGCAGTCAAATGAATTTTTGAAGATAACTGCGCACTTAGACAGCGCAGTATATTTCGGAAAATCATTTGACTGCTTTCTCGATTGAATTTTTAAATGAAATTTAATATGAATAAACTAGACTTAATGAAGAAGATGCCCAAAAAATTTCATCAAAAAATTCCAGCGGAAACCTCCCCGAATGGGGACAGGCGGACAAAACCTCATTTAAGGGTTTATTTGCACTTTTTATGAAAGTTCTATTGGCTTATTCGATAGTTTTCCTTATATATAATTAACTTAATTAATTACCTGAATGACGTGATTATTAGAATTGCGGAAATCAAGGAGCTTTTGACGTTCTTTTCTAGAACGGAACTCGAGATAAAGGGTGGTAATGAGATACGCCGTCCAGCTTCCCATCACCCCATAGAAGAGTTGGAATGCTATGCCCGACGCCATCCCCAGCTGCGAAAACGAGTATGGCAACGTCAGCAACACTTGTGCCACCTGAAATTCATTAATTAAAGTCCACAAACTTATTAATTACCAACTACTAACTACGTATATAATATGATTTGCTCATTAAATAAAGTTACATTATTTAATAATGTCCACATTAGTGCACAAATACAACTTCATTTTTTACATTCAATCTAACCTACTTCATAGAGATTCAAACACCAGACTTCATAAAACCGCCTCCCAACAGAGGGGTATTTTTGTAAAGATGGATGTGCTAGCATTCACCATTTTGTTAGCTAGAACTGAGAATAACTAAGATAAATTCACCCATCTGACTTGGATCGGAGTTTAATTAAGAAATTCAAGTAAGAATAAAGTGAAAATGTGTTGTTGTGGTTGAGTGAGAAAAATAGTACATATAAATGAATGTTCTCATTAAAAAAGAAAATAGGTAAATGAATATTAGTCATACATATAAGTCAGACCATGCACCTGATTAGAAGCACAGCTAAACCAAGCATCATAAGCAGAGCCACCATGCCAGAAGAGTTTCGAGATCTTAGCCTTCATGTCCGCCGCCGCCGCCTCTTCCACCTTAGCTTTTCCATCTACTACTCTTTCCATCTCAACATAGCTCCCTGCTATCACTGTCTCCACCCCCTTCTCGTCTGATGATAATGACCTGTTACTACTTAAAGATTCCATTCTCTAGCTACCCTATCAATCTCTATGACTCTGATCTGAATATTTAGTCTATATATACATGTGTCTTTACTCGGTGGTGATGATCGTACGTATTATACCCAAGCTACAAATGTCTTGTTTTCGTAGGGATAGACGTATCAATGTTCTATTAACTGTGTGGCTACTTTTCCACTTTTTTGAATTGAGAGGGTTTCTATTGCTAGACCCCGAAAGTTAGGGGTATACCCCCCTTTTCACAAAGCTTCCTTTCAGTCGGTGGCTTGACTAGCGTAGTAGTTGTTTAGCCATAACAATTAGAAAGCGTCATATTTCAAGACGTTAAGCCAAAATGCTACTATTTGCAGCGGTTTCATTTCGACGGTTTCATAAAAAATGCTAGGACCGAATTGAGTAACTATTTATCAAACAACGTTTTCACTTGTTGAAAACGCTAAAAGAGGTCAAACCGTCTTTTTTGATCGAAACATCATTTTCCAAACGCCTCCCCCATTATACCCATGCCCTGATGTCCATGGTAATGTGTTGCGCATGATGATGTAAATGTGGGTAAATTTTATGTAATCATAAAGAGAAAATTACTTGGAATATAGCTAAAAGAAATGGTAATTATAAAATATGACTACATAGCTTTAATTTCTAAATTAATGGTGTTTTATATGTATGGTATGTGTCTTGAATCTTGATCCTTCTCTTTTTTTTGAATTCAATTATTACTTATATAGAGTAATGTTTAAGACAAAGTTATAAATAAAAGGTTAAATAAGAACAAAAATCACATATGATATAAAAGTGCATGGGTTACGTTGATTGAATCGTACAGTGGAGTTAAAATGTTAAATTAACTTCAAACTAAAGAATGTTTCAATCACCCATAAAGTTAATTTACCTCCATTATTATGGTTTTTTTATACAGAATCTCCATTATTATGGATGATTCAACACTTGCACGTTTTTTCATTTAACCTTTTTATTTTAGCTAGTCTTGGGATACAATTTTCTTAATCTATTAATTTTACCTGTCTCCAAAGAAATGCCCACTTCTCTTGTGTTAGCACACATTTAATCACTTAGAATTGATATTTATTAAAGGAAATAATTAGCACACATTTAATCACTTAGAATTGATATTTATTAAAGGAAATAATTTCAGATGTATAACCAAAATAAAAGTAGTGGACGAAAATGCGATTCTAGTAACTTTATTGAATTCAAATGTTACTTCATGGTGATTGGTGACTATAATACTCACATAATAACTTATAACTTATAGTCACATTAATATCTATATAATATATTTTTTTATCAGTTAATATTTTAGGAAAAACTTCTTAATTATTAAAGACCAAACTTAAATGGGTACATGCCATTTGAGGCAAGGCCAAATAAACATTATACAAGTATATACAATAATAATATCATAATAAATCAAATCAAATCATATCAAAGCAAATGACCAAACTAAACATATCAAACTCTACCTCACCTAAATTTCTAGATAATTAAATAAACTACTTTACCCAATGTTTTCAAGTGAAATAACCAATTTCTGTGAAACGTGATTTAAACATATCAAGCTCTACTATATTACCTCACCTAAATTTCCAAGGTTTTGAGAATAAATTTATGGTTGGTATATACATAATGAATTAAAAAAGGTGGGTGGTGGAGCAAATTATTATGAGAATAAAAGCAGACCGCATTATTGCAGCCAAACGAGCGTGATTGCTTTATTTATAACAATGGGCTAAACAGCATTTTGCTTTTCTCGTCACATGTTGAATTGGCTTGAGAAGGATTCAACATATACGTACTATATGATATGTACTCCGTATGAATTAAAGGAAACTTTATACGATACAAAAAGGAGAACCATGTTCAGGCAAATGATTATCAGCGGCGGAGTCAGAAATCTATGATTAAGGGAGCCTTAAAATATCAACATATTTTCTCTAGATTATTTATACATAATATATATTTAATTTTTTTTTTCTTGCAGGGGCCAAGACCCCCTCCAGCCCCTCCCGTCTCCACCTCTGATGAAGCAAAATAATCGTATATGCGGTAATGCGGAGGTGCGGAGTATAAAATAAAAGTATTATACGACGCATATAATTTAAGTTATTTTTTTAGACTATTTTGCTGGTTTGAATGATTACTAATTGTATGAATTAAAGATTACATGTCCTGATGTGCTGTGCAAAATCAATTTTAATTATCTCACTCGACTAATAGGCATTTTCCAGTATGTATGGCATCTAGTGTTACAAAAACAAATGTATGTAATATGTTATAGAACCAAGCGGGAATATAATGGTGAATAAAATATATTTCCTACTTCTCACAAACAAGTTCTTGTTATATAATTTTTGTTTTGAATATATATTTATACCTCTATTTTATGTTAAATTAAGCAAAATATACAAAAGGAAAGGGTAACAATGACATTTCTGATTAGAAAACTTCTTTTTATGAAAATGAGAATTTTAGCTTGGGAAAGTATGTGGAAAAAGTACTAATTTTTGTTATTTCACGCCCCCCGCATATTTTTTAGTTATAATCATTTAATTTTGGCTTAATTTCGTTTCTAGTCGAGGTAAACATGATGCATTTTGTTTTACGTCCTTACATTTTTTATTTTGTTTTTCTTGTTTATCTTTTTAATATCTCACCCATTATAATTAACAACCCCTGCTTGACAATGAAACAACTCTAATTAGTATGTCTCCTCTCATTCTTTGCCATGTCATTTAAAAAATATAGTATTTCTTCTTTATAGAAGGTTGCTAAAACCCATTTTAAAAACATCAATGCCTAGTCTTATACTCCGTATTATTTTAGTTCAAATTAAATAAAAAAAATATTAAAGAATAAATAAAAACAATAATAGATTTATGCAACCAACAATGATATACACTTCTTCTAAATAGAGTGATCCACTGCTCCTGGAGTTAAAGATGGACAAGAAACAAAACTGTGCATATTTTAGGGATAAAAAACAAAACAAAACAATCATTTCCCGAGGGTGTATAACAAAACTGTCACATTTAGAGGAATTTAAAACTTATATAGACCTTTAACTTTAAAGGACGGCAATTTTTATTACATGTATTGTTTGCTCATTTGTCTAAATAAACAATATTTAAGAATGATGGTTGACTATCTTAATTTACAAATGACTATATATATTAATCCTTCCTTCTATATATATATTCATTCGTCCCATTTAATGGTTTCCATCACTACAAAAAAATCGCTTGTAGTCGCGAACGCTAGTCACGGATTTGGTCCGTGACTAGTTAGTCACGGTTCTAGTCACGGGCTAGTAACGGATTGTTTAAAACAAATAGTCACGGATACGATCGTGACTACGTCCGTGACTACGGTTAGTCACGGATTATATCTGTGACTAACCTATTCCGGCCAACCCAATTTTGCCTCCGACGGGTTTTATTTTTAAATTTGAAATTAGTCACGGACGAATGCGTGACTAATTCCGTGACTAAACTTAGTCACAGATAATTCCGTGACTAATTCCGTGACAAGATCCAAAATTAATTTTTTTCAACGCTCCAAAGTTAAAGTGTACCGATAAATCGTACGAAATTACTTAGTCACAGACACATCCGTGACTAAATGTTTTATATATGCAGCATCAGATTCATTCAACAAAACCACACAAGCTATTTCCTCCAAATAGAATTGAAGGATGCAATCTAGCCATCTTATATCATTTTCCCTGTTTATGCAGATAAGGTATGTAATTTGAATTACATATTTTTTTGTATGCATTGGTTGGTTCATTTTAAGTGTAATAAACTGTTAAATTAGAGAGATTATTATATTAATTAAGTAATGAATTATATATATGTCAATTTCATTTAATTTAGTGAAAAATTAGTTACTTAAACGTAAGTTTAATCGTAGTGACGCATTAAGTTAAATTAATTAATTAGCTAAATTAGTTAAGCTTTTGTTAATATTAGTCAAATTTAAATTAAATGCATTAAAAAAAGGTTGTTAATTAATTAACGAAATAAATTCCTTAAAATTAGTTAAACGTAGGTGTAATTTAAACATAGGGTTAATTAAGTTGTATTTAATTAAATTTACGTAAATTAGTTAAATTATAGATGATATTAGTTAAATGTAAGTATTATTTAATTCAAATGAGTTTATATATGGTTAAATACAATTACATGATTTCCTTATTAGCAATTATTGTTAATGCCTAATTTAGGATTTATAATGATTTAAATTAGGGTTAGTTAATTGAAACATTACTTAAGTATGATGATTTATGATTGTGAATTACGTAACTTAGTAAAAAAAATTATAATATTAGTTGAATATAAGTATTATTTAATTTAAATGAGTTTATATATATGCTAAAACTATTGGATTTGCTCATATTATTTAATTTAGTGAATTGTTAAATGTGCATTATTAATAAGATTAAGATGTTGATAATTTTAGTATTGTGGATTAAATGCCATTAACGTATTGTGCATGTTTATAGTTTAATAATATTAATTGGACGTTAGTTAATTTAAGGGAATTTTAGTGAAATTTAATATATAAATGTTCGTACACATAAAAAATTATTGTTAATGTTTATGAATTAATTAATGCCATTAACGTAATAATTTAGTGTATTTAGTGTTGAAATCATACTATTGGTTATTAGTTATTAATTGAAATGATTAATGATATTATATGAACATATTAGTTCATCTAGTGAATTAATTGCATTGAACTTTAATTAGTGAAATTTAATATATTAATAGTACTCCACATATGTTGGTAATGTTTATAATTTAGAGTTTTTAACCTGTATAATTTTTTTATTATAATATACAGGCATAATGTATAGACAAAATAGAATTCGGATTTATGATAAACATGCGGTATTGTATGGAATGCAATCAAATTTTCTTGAAGGAGTTGAGGAGTTTATTAAATTCGCACTTGAACACCCACCTTATATGAGTGGTGATAAAATCAGATGTCCATGTTCAAAGTGTAAAAATCTCAAATTTAAACACCCAGACGAAGTTGGGTGGGATTTGTACGCGAACGGTTTCGTTCCCAATTATTATATATGGACTTCTCATGGAAAACCTCTGGATCCATCTGTTTTACCACAAATGGTAGGTTCGTCTCGTAACGTCTCTACAAAGATGAGTGCGTGGGGAG